TTGAGGACAACATTCAATGAAAAGGAGGATTGAGATATGAACCGAGGATTCATGGTGCTCGGAGCTTAGAACCCCGAGACAGAGTCATCCCATTCCAAATGGAACGAGGGCTGGAATGAGGATCCTGGAGAACTATTGTTAATTCAGTTCAGTACAATATAGATTTGTGGTGAGAAATAAAATGAAATAAAATCCTAAGTCCCTCAACCAATTGAACAGAGCCCCTCTTGGCCAAGGGGACCCCAGACAAATCTTAAAACTGAGTTCCTGGCCATAATGAGACCGGAGGTCAGACACGCCTCTTTACACCTGCTCCCTCACCAACCACCAGCCTTGGGAAAGACTTGGTCCACCGCTGGCTTCAGTCACCCACCGGATGCTGCTCCTCCCCTCTGTGTTGTCAGCACCACTGACCAGCACTCCTTCCTGGTAAGAGACCACTGACCATGGAGTAGTCCTTGCCAGTCTACAGAGGAAATGGCGAGAGTTTTCATGTCCTCGGCTTCACCTTTTGAGGTCAGAAGCCGGAAAACTCCACCCTTGCATAATGCTAAGGCCGGCATTTTCTGAACATGAGGGGCATAAAGCTCAATTGCACATACGCACGTTTCTCCTCTCATAAATATTCGTGACTCCTCCTATAGCTTGTTAAATACATTTATTTGGCCACTCTGCTGAGAACAAATTCCTGTTCCTGTTGTCCCTCCCTCAAAGTACATGCTCTCAGCTTCTGCCCAAGCCTCTGCCTCTCAGGCTGTCAGAATGGCCACCCTGCAGGCTGCAACTCTCTATGAGAAATATTAATAGTCTCCTCTCCAAATTTATGAACATTGCTTCTTCAGTTGACAGTGGTTATGTAGAAAAACGGCCTCACTTTTCAGACATCCTGAATATTGAAATACTTTGGGGAAGAAGTGTGTATTCTGTGGCAACAACAAAATAAATATAGTAGCAAATATGGCAAAACAATAATCTTAACCTATGTATGTGGCAGAGTCTCATACCGGGCCCTGAAGAACCCTTCCTGGGCTCCAGGCCCCTGTGAGACCCTGCCCTGAGGGTGGGCGTGGGACTCACCTCTGAGGGAAAGCAGGTCCACAAAAAGATGGGGACTCCCGCTCTCCCTCTCCCCGCTGCCCTGTGGGAAGCCACAGGTGCCAGGCGAGGGGTGATGCCGCGGGGCTGGGAAGTGGGGGATGTATAGGCTCTGGGGCCCCTCGAATAAGCTGCCACATAACATGTTCTAAATCTGAAGTTCATCCCGAATGACTTAAGAGCTCAGTCAGGGCCAGGGGGAGGGAAGAGGGAAGGCAGAAAGGGGCTTGGGAAGAGCCCTCTACCCCTCAACCTCTTCCTTCCCACTTCAGTCTGGACTCTCTCTCACACTGCCCCCAGCTGAGGTCCCAGACTTTCCCCGACCCAGGCTCTCAGACACTGCAGTGTCATTGTCTGTTTTGTGACTCTCTCCCCAGGTGACATGCAGAGAACAGTGAGCAGACTGATTCCTGTGCCCACCACCCCCACCTGGGCACTGTGTTTGCACCAGACACCAGGGGACAGCCCCATTCACGGCTGGCACTGCCAGGAGGGTCCCTGCACCCTAGGCCTGTCCTTCAGCACACTCTTGCCTGCCTCCTCCACAGATATGAAAAAATCAGATGTCTCTTTTAAGGTGCATTTATTTTAAGCTGCTATTTTTACTTCAGGGAAATTCTGCTTTCCATTTTTTTATGACCATGTTTTTTTCAAATAAACCTGTTCCAGCAGGTTTTTTGCATTGCTAATTATACTAAACAATAAGTTAGTATAATTAGTGACGGTCTTCATCTGGGTGCAGCTGCTTCTGGAAAATGGGGTTCAGTCATGGAGCCCCCTTGCTGGGGGACATGCTGTTGTGTCACTTGGTCACTGCCTAGTCTCTGAGAAGAGCATCTCAGGCTTTGCTGGGCTTCCTGAGGGGCTGGGAAGGGCCACACAGTCCAGATTTACCATTCGATTTAATGGAACATCGGCTGGGCTGCCACTGTGGCGGGTGAGGACCCTGAGCAGAATTGTTCCTGTTCATGATGTCTGTGCAAGGACCCCAAGTAAAAGATGCTCTTTGTGCTTCTAGAAAACTACCAGTATAAATAAATGCACTTTATACTTGGCAAAAATTACTAAATTACATAACATGTTACAATAATAGGAAAAACCGAAACCTGGTGTAACAGTCTGCTCGGGCTGCCATAACAAAATACCACAGCCTGGACAGATTAAACCACAGATATTTATTCTCCCACAGTTCTGGAAGCTGGAAGGGAGGCCTCCCTCGGGAGCATGCGGATGGCCGTCCTCTGACTGTGTTCCGCCTACAGGTGGAAACAACCCAAGTGTGCACTGACAGATGACGGATAAACAAAGCGTGGTGGTATCTACTCCATGAAATATCATTCGATCACAAGAAGGAGTGAAGCTCTGACACAGGCTACCACATGGATGACCCTAAAAAATTATGCTCAGTGAAATAAGCCAGACACAAAAGGACAAATAATGTATGATCCCACTCACAGGAAATGTCTAGATTAGGAAAATTCACAAAGACAGAAAGGAGCCCAGCCAAAGACACCAGGAGGGTGGAGGGAGCCATTTCTCACTTCCCACAGGCCCCAGAGAGCAGCCCACCAACAACCAGCACTTCAAGGTCGCCTCTGGGAATTCCTTCACACCTGGTGGGTTGCAAACATTCTCCTTGGTAACTGATGTGCTGAGAACACCTAGGTGACAGTCCCCACATGGTTTTTGAGTCAGAATGTTCCAGCTGAGGTTTGATTGCTGGATATCACCAGCCTTATCTGTTGACAACTGATAAGGAGGAGAGAGGACCTCCCCTGGGGCTGCCAACCGCCTTCCCCCAACTCCAGCGGCTCCTAGCAACCCTTCCAGCTGGGCCCCTCATGGCAAACACCCCTGCCCCTCTGCAGTGAAATGCAAAACCCTTTTTACCAGACCTACCAGTCAATGAGACAACCCGGGACCACAAAGCCCTGTGTGGACAGCAAGTGACAGTGTGGTGAAAAAAAGCCACCCTTCTCCTCCTCAGAGCCGAATCTGGATCTTAAGCAGATAGCCCACGGCTGTTTCTTGACTCTCAATCTTGTCTTGCTGGCAAGACATTTCCTTTCCTTTTGCCTCCAGTTTCCACTTATAAAGTGCAGATTTTCAAGACTTTATTAGACATATGAAATGTCATGGTGTCTGGGACTTGCTTTTAAGGACTTTAAGGAAAAAAGTAGGGGAGGAAATAAACAAAGGAAGAGTGGCAAAGGTTGGACCTGAGTTTACGGGGTCATTCTCCCAGCTTTTTGTTAGGGTAGAAAACCTGGTATGTGCCCTTGGTGTGGGTGGAGAAATATTTCTTACACAGAAATCAAGATATATAAAGGTAAAAAGTTCATTTTACCTTCTCAGAAACTTTTGTATATGTTTAAAAATGTCCTCTGTGCAAAAATTTAATAAAATAAACCATGGGGGCGGGAATCAGATTTTAGAAACTGGTTTTAAGACTTTAATATTATTAGAAGGATTTGATTTCAATGTCATTCTGTAAAATTAACAGTTTTAAAACTTATCTAAACAAAGAAATACAATCCTTTTGCTTATTTATGGCTTTATTTTAGTATATAACCCATTTAGCGCATATAGACGTTTCTACTGATTGAAAATCATAAAAAGTAGTTAACTTACATGTATAATTAAATGATTCAATTAGCCAGTAATAACCCTGAGTTTGAGAGTGTTGATGAAGGCCTGAGGCGGCTTCCTTGGCCAGGGCTTTGCCCCACCTGACCCTGGCAGCCCATAGGCCCCATCGCTGGGAGGCCTGGTACAGCGGGGCTCACCAATTCTGTATTAGTTTATTTGACAGCTTCTTTAATGAACCTCCCCTCTAAAGGTGTAAGAAATTAAATTGGTATCCGAGACTATTTCAACCTTGGAGGAAGAATGCTATTTTCAGAAATGAGTTTTTATGTTAAAATCACAGAACAATTTGCAACAGAAGTGCAAGGTGTCCTCTTTAGTGCTGATAAAAGGGCCGAGTCCCTATTTTGGCAAGCAGAAAAACAGAATTAGAAAGTGCCGGAAGAGGGCCCCAAATGACTACCTCCTCGGGTTCCACGCAGCCTCCTGGGACAGTGGCATGCTACCTACCTTTGTGCCTTAGTTCAGTGGGCTCTAGATACCTGCCCATGGGCGGCTCCTCATAACATCTGTGCATTTCATGGTTTTCAGAGACCTAGCTGCCACAGGACTTAAACTCTCTAAGACTCAGTTTCCTCACCTTTTACCTACGGGGTAATAACAGCGGCTACCCCAGAGGGGCACAGTGCCCACAGTGCTAGGCGCAGAGAAGAGACTCGATCTACGGAGTGAAGAGGCCTCCCTGAAAGCCGCCATTCAAACGTCTTCCTTCCTCTGCTCTCGTCGCTCCTGGCGCTAGCTGGGCTCCTGGCCTTCTCCCAGTACAAGGAGTATGCAACAGAAAATCTCCATTTTCCTATGAAAGTTTTTTTGTTCATGTTGGGGTATTAATTTTTTTTTTGGGGGGGGTGAGAAAAAGGCTCGTCGCCTTGGACACCAATGTTTTACATCAGGCATTGGCTGCTCCTGCTGCTGTCAGCACTGTAAATGCGGCCCCAACAGAGTAGGCCAAGTCTCCACCCCCTGCGGGCCTCGCTGAGGAGATAGTCCTTCTGGCTCAGGACAGCCCCACCGGTCACTGCGGGGTCCTCCCCCCTCAGGGGCGGCAGAACGATCTCATCAGCTCTTCCTCCTGGCAGAGGAGGAAACGCCTGAGTCTTCTGTACTGATCCACTCTGTGTCCTGGAGTTACCCCAGGGCCTGGAGTAAAGACACCTTCAAATGCAAAAACTCTTTAGACTCAACTTCCTTGGAAATTGATCTTCTAAGCATTGATGAGAAAAGGAGACTCTCATACCAACCGGACTTGTCAATGGAAAATGACCCAAAGGCACCGAGTCAGGTAAGGACAGAGGTCACCAGATCTTAGGGTGAGCTTCAAAGCCTCAGTAGAAATCGCAAGGCATGCATGAGTGTTCCTTCTCATTAAAGGAAGCTATGCTTCCTGATTCAAAATCTTTATAATGATTTTATATAATTATTATATATTTATACATAAGGATTGCATTACATATTTTTATATATGTGAATTTCTGCTTATACATTTTTTAATATTTTAACCTTCAATGATTTTCTTTAAATATTTTAGGCTTCTTTTTATGGTCAGTTTGGCATTGCAGATCATCCATTTGGGAAACAGTAAGAAGCATTTTATTCATAGCCTCAGTTTTAACTGCATAAAATATTTGTTTCTCAACCGTTAACAGTCTCATATTTTCAATATTTTTAAAAGGCTATCAAAATGAGAAACACAAAGGTGGTCGAGAAGAAGTCACCAATATTGCCGCTCAGAAGCACCAACACGCTACACCCAACTGGACCCTGGATAATTTTAGCGCGGCGAACGGGGGCGAGGAGCGCTGGGGTCCCCAGGATTCCCGTTCCTGCTCCCCGGCTTTCCGAGAGCGTAAGTCGCAGCGCCGCCCGCGGCGGTATGGGATCCTCAGTGTCAGAGCAGAGTCTAGGATCTGGAAACAGCATGGGATATAGTAAGGATAAAATGAGAAACCCAGTGGAGAGCATTTTGTCATCTTCAAATGATGATACTCTACAAAGTAAAAAATATTTCCTAGTGAGTTTACTCTTTTAAAAGTTTTACTATTTCGTTGGTAAGATGTTACATTTGCTCTTAAATGGCTATTTTGCTGCTGATCTAGAGAATTGTGATTTAAGTGTTTTTAAAACAAATGTCCCAAACCCAGATAATTGCGGATCCTTGCTTGGCTTGGGGCAGACGGCCCGGTCCCCAGGAGGCCCCTTGCCGCAGAGTTTGGCGACATCACACTCGTGGGTGGTCCGTCCCCCGGAGGCCTGTCTTTAATCACTGTCTGGTGAAGACTTGGCCTGATTTTAACATGTGAAAGGAAGGGAGAAAAGAAAACCTAACTTGCCGGGTGGCACCCCTGGTAGTTTGTTTCAAATCCCTAAATTAACAAGCCGGCTTTACCGGAGCAAACACACTTAGCAGGGAGCTGGTTTTATTGCTCCCGGCGGCCAGGGCCGGCCCCCTGGCGGGCTATCCCAGAGGGCCGGCCCTGGGCGCGCAGCTGACGCCCGTGACCCCCCAGGTGCGCCCCCGCGGCCGCGCTGCTGCCGGAACGGCGGCACCTGCGTGCTCGGCAGCTTCTGCGTGTGCCCCGCCCACTTCACCGGCCGCCACTGCGAGCACGACCAGAGGCGCAGGTGGGCGCAGGCGGGCGCGGGCGGGCGCGGACGGGCGCAGGCGCGCGGGCGGGCGCGCGGGGCGGGTGGGGCCCCCGGGAGGGACGCGCCGGCCGCCGCGCTGACTCCGGGTCCCCCTCCTTAGCGAATGCGGCGCCCTGGCGCACGGAGCCTGGACCTTCCGCGGCTGCCGCCTCTGCAGGTGCGTCTTTGGGGCCCTGCACTGCCTCCCCCGCCAGACGCCCGGCCGCTGTGGTAAGAGGGCGCGCGACAGTTGCTCACAGCTCACACGCGCGTGCAGTCGCGCCTTCCTTGTGGTTCATTTTGCATGCCAGTCCATTGAGCAGAATCTTCAAGTGCCGGGTGACACAGACATGAGCAAACTAGATGGCTTCATCATTCAAGAAAGTCACATTCGTTGCGAATCACATAGTGAACTGAATTTTGTTTTTAAGTTTCTCATATCCAGATTGCTGGGTTTAAACGTAGTTTCCAAACAGTGTCCTATGGGTCCTTGTCCTTTACAGTGAGTGGAATTTAGCAGCTGACAAGCCGGTAAGCAGGGCTGAACTTGAGTAAATCTCCAGTGATTTCCCTACAGCAGGCACTGGAGCAGGAGGGGAACCGCCTCCGCTCTGCTGGCCTGGGCAGGGGTTGCCCTTCAGGGTCAGGCCAGCATTTCATTCTGACATCCCGCTCCCTCTCTCCTCTCTGGCAGGAGCAACCCTTCAGCCTCGTCCAGCCTCTGCCCCTGCCAGCCCTGGGTGGTCTGGCCCTGCTGTGTGCCCCTAAGCCCCTCTCCCACTCCCTCTGTCCCCCTCAGTTAACTGGGCACTGCGGCTGTCAAAGGGCATCGTTAATGGTGGCACCACCCTGCAGCCCCACATCTACCCCTCCTTCTCTGGCAGCCCTGGCAGCACCAGGGGGCAAGGGACTTCAGCCCAACCTCTGCCTCCACTCTCTTGCACTTGGTGGGTCTGGGTGGAGAAGCACACTTACTGAATGTGTAGCTCTTAACCACCTTCCTGCCCCCTCTCTTTTTCTCACCTTGGTAGGACCAGCAGTAAGAGACACTCTTCATGGAGGCACAGCCCTCAACCCCACTTCCTGCACCCCCTTTTCCTCAGCAAGCTCTGCACAGTGCCAGCAATTTAAAATAATGTTAGGCTTCAAAATCATTGATTTTGTAGATTTTAAAAAGCGCAGTAAAAATTAATAAAGCTTATTATTCAGTTTTTCCATGAATATTAATATATAGAGGAAGTTCTAATATTTTCTAAGTTCAAAGGGTGACCTTGGGCCCCCTGGGAGGCACATTCATGGTGCTCATAGCCCTGGTTTGGGGATTTCTGCATGAAGGGCTGACTCAGCCTAACCGAAGTCACGAAGCTGACTACAGCAGCAGACTTTGGGTTTATAGACAAGAAACGACTGCCAAGGGGGCCTGAATCCTTCCCCGTGGGCAGCCTGTTCCCTTCTCCCAGGGGAAGGTCAACACGGACCCAGTATAGCCGACCTGACCGGCTTCTTCTCATGCTGTAAGCACCTGTCTTAGCATCAGCTTCTCTGGATCCTTGCCTGGGCCCAGATGTTAGGGTTCCTGTTTTGGGGTTCTGGCATCCTGGAACAACCCTCTTTCCCAAGGCAGAGTGATGTGGGGAGGTGGCAGCCAGTTTTGGAGTGAGCCTGACCTCGGTCCCATCCCTCAGTCTGGCCTTCTGGCTGATCCCACCATAGCCCACCTGTGAACAGGTGTAGAGTGGTCCTTGCTGCAGGTGCTTACCTGCATCATTACTTGTTAATTTTCATTGTTTCATTGCTCACGCCAGGTTCCCAGATTCAGAAGGCATCTCCTGGAGGTGTCATAGAGCGCAGGGCGAGCGGATCTCAGAGGAAGGCCGGACTGGCCTTTGCTGAGCAGTCGTGGGGAGAAGTTTCCTGTCATTGGGCCCTTCCTCATTTGCCTGCTGCCCTGCCAGCCTGACCCCACGTCCAGGCCAGGCCTGCGCCTGCTTGTGGGAATGCTCTCATGGAACCGGCGGCCCTGTCTGTGGACTGTCAGCTTCATGTGACAATCACCATCAGGGACTTTCACCAAGACAGATACTGGCCCCTCCACCCACGAGATTCCCATTCAGTGGCTCTGGGCTGGGGTTCCAGCCCAGCAGAGACTAAGACTCAGGGACCTTCAGGGCGGAGGACAGGGATGAGGTGCTCAGGTGTGGCCTCTTGTGATGGGCCCAATGGAGGCAATGGCACAGGCCAGCAGATGAGTGCCTCGGGGGTGACCAGCAGTGCCGGGCTGTTCACTGTCTCAGCAGTGTCCTTGGCTGCTTCCTCCTGTTTGATAAGCTGTCCCCAGTCAAGGAAATGTTATGAGGACTAATTTGGGGGGAAAGTTGGACCTTCTTTGGAACAGATGGATGCAAGCTGTTTTACATTACTGTATTGCTTCTAAATCAGATCTGTTTGCTCCATCGCTGAATGACTTGCGTGGAACTCCCCGAAAGGTCGCCCTGGCCTACTTGTGTGCTAAATGAAAAAGCTGAAGGGCTATTTCTTTGTTAGCCTGTAAAAACCATGAAGTAATTCTCCTTCTGCTTGCCAGGTTTCTCCCAAATCTAGTTGTATCTGGCCACAGTGAAAGGAATAGCAGAGGTAAAAAAAGCACCTGGTCCTTGAGCTAGGCTCATGCAGCTCTTCCTTCAGTATCAAAACCGTGTGCGGTTTCAGGTCCAGCCCTGAAACTCCTGGGGCGTGGGGCTCAGACCTGGGCCTGGAGCCCTGAAGTAGGGCGGGGGTGGGGTGGGGTGGTGAGGGGCCAAGCCTAGTGAGGTAGCCAAGGCGGAGTAGGGCCTTTAGAAGAACAGGTGCAGACATTTTTATTTCATTCCTTTAAGCCAAGCCTGTGACAGTGTATGTGCAACGGTGTGTCTCACACATTCTCCATGATCTCTTTCAGACCTGAAAGACTTTCTGGCCTCCCATGCTACTGGACTGAGCGCAGGTGGAGCGCTGAGTTTCCTCTTCCTGCTGCCCTGTGTCCTCCTGCATCGCCTCCTCCGAGAAGGGGGAGACGCATAAGCACACAGATGCTCCCTCCCGGCACCTCGAGGCCAGCCCTCCGTGCCACTGAGGGAACACGGCGTCCTCAGCAGGAAGGCCCGGACGTGGACGTGGGTGTCCCCTTTAATTTTCTATGCTGTATACAACAGATTTGTTTAGTTTACTGTAGGCCAAAGCGTTAGGTGGATATTTTTATTGTGTAATAAACATTTTTATCAAAGAGACTTTCTCGCTTCCCTGAGCCTTATTTCGAGGTCTACAACTGAGATGAGTGTGAACAGGGGCTGGGCGGTTCTCACACACACACACAGACACACACAGCTCATCCTCACCTCAGGACATAAGTCCTTGGGAGAGGGACAGGGCCATATGTTTGTCTTCCGCAAGGAAGGCTGGAGGCAGACAGCCTGGCACCCGCTCCCTTTCCCCGTGAGGGTCAGTGCCTTCCTGGTGATCCTGCCTCCATGAAGGAGGAAGCAGCGGCTGCAGCAGCACCCAGGGCAAGGTAAGGCAGGGAGAGAACTTAGCCTAGGGGGCTCCAGGCAAGCCCCTCCCTCTCCCGAGTACTGCGTCCCTAAAGCAGGCCCTGTCACGTCTGAAGAGGCTGTCATGACCCATCAGGATGGTCTAGGACAGCTCTGCTGTGCAGACTGTCCCCCTTGAGATCACACAAGTCGAGTAGAGGATACTTCCATTGAGATGTTTAGCTTTTAAATCTACTTTAGCTCACGAGCATGTGTAATACAATTCTAATTTTTAAAATTCTATATTGTAAATTCATTTATTGGCATATTAAACCTTTTCAGCTATTGACTTTGGAAATATAAATTTAACGTAATATTCAAATGAATGTTGAAAAATAAGGTAGAATTCAGTCGACAGTTGACTTGGAGTCCACTGATGCATGAGAAAAATAATTATTCAAGTTTTGAGACAAATATTTCTGGACAATAATAATTTTTGATACCAAAGTTGTCTTTAAGTAGTTTCAAGTGCATTCTGCGCAGTACTTTCTATTTCAGTTTAATTATTGTAGGAACAAACAAAAGTAATGAACTTTGCAAATTTATCCTAAGAACTTGATAAATATGTGTATACTATTTGCAGAATTTGTGTTTACAAAATACCTGTCTTTTATACTTTGTACCACTGCCAAGTGTACTGAAAAACATTGGCGGGCCAAAAAGACACATGGCCTTATTGTCAACAGCTGCACTTAGGAAACTGAGCTGAGCTAAGAGGATATTTGAGAGGCTGCAACTGTAGGTAAAAGGAAAACCACAAATTGTTCAGTATTAGCATGAATATCTGGGGTATAAACACTTATTGTATTTACTTAAAATGTATAAGTAGAAAATTAAGAACTAGGACTATGGATCCCTCCAGTAGAATAATTCTTGATTATAAGTAAGGAAACCAAAGTTGCCATTTATCTACCTATCATCCATTTACCAACTAACTGAGAAGCCTTTACCTACCCAACTCTGAAAAGAACATGGAGAATTTGAGGATAAAATGCATTTCCCGGGTGTCCAGAGAGACAATTAAAAAGAAGAAACTTCTTAGGAGACAAAAGAGCAATCCTGGGCTCGTGTGTCCCAGACCTTACTTGTCCCCTGCTGTTCAGGACAGATAGAGGCGACCTTCCCAGGGCACTGATCCCTGGGACGAGCCTCTCCTCTGCCCTGGGTTTGCTCACTCTGATAGCGACCGAGGGGACCTCCCTTCCAAGAAGGTGATCCTGTCCTTCCTGGATTGTTTACAGAAGAACCCTCTTTGCTTGCCAAGTTTGCCCTGGCTCACCCTACCCCAGCGCATCCTAGAGAAGCAAAATCAGTCACCACAAGTCCTCAGATGCCCTCTCTGAGGGAGCTGCTGGCCTGGCACCCGGACGAAGAACGAGAGTGTGCTAGGATCGTACCAGCCACGTGGTTTCAGTTTCCTGACTGCTCAGCTTGTTCCCGCATCAGAGTCTGCTTCAGAGTCCAGGCGGATGCCTGTAGGCTGAGGAGCCCTCCTGCCCCTTTCAGCCACGTCATGCTCCCCGCACCTCCCCCGAGCCCCCAGCCTGGATGCAAACTGACTTTTCTTGTCCGGGAGTTCAAAAGCAACCTCTGGATGTATTTCCAATTTCCGTTGTCTGGAAAAGCCACTCTGGCACATGCAACCATACATCACACAAGCAAAAGTTTCTGGGACTAGCTTTTCCATGGAATTCGGATTTGAATATTTAACATTAAGCGTGGTTAAGTTTTACATGGGCAGGATTTTCTTCTCACCTGGACTGCCTGCTCTCAGGAAAGGAAGATGAGGGGCAGCGTCTCTTCCAGTTACAGCTGTTTGGCCCTCGCTGATCCAGCAGCTGGATCCCTGGGGCCCCAGACAACACTGTGGGAGCTTGCAGCCACAGAGACGGCTGGAGCTCCAGCAGCGGAACGCCGTCAAGCTTGCAACTGTCTGCGCACTGCCGCTCGGGATGCAGACGGATGCGCTGGTCAATGTTCAAGAACCAGCTCTACCGAAAAAAAGATGCATATATCTGCCTACATCAGTTTATCATAAATTTTACTGATATAAAGTACAAAAAGCATGGAAGTTAAAAGTCATAATAAAACCTACAATACCCTTTATTCCATATAAGCTTTTGTAGATTTTTATCAGACCTTATTGAAACCGCCCTACAGTAACAGGGCACCCTTCAGTAACTGTGGCGAGGGCCTCACTTAAAATAACGCACAGGCCTAGCTAAAAATAATGATAATAATTAGTAACTGTCCCCTTGTAATTGCCACTGCGGAGCCACGCAGCTGGTGTCCATAAAGATTTTTAACTTTCTCCGTAGATAGCATCGCTTTTTCGAAACCTAAAGGTAGTTTCAGGATATCTTCCAGGCCCCGCATTCCAGTGGATCGGTTGGCGGTGGCCCACCCAGACCAGCAGCCCAGACCAGGAAACTGACTCAATTGAAATTGTGACCCCAGGGACTGGAGCAACACAAGAAGATGGTTTCTACATCCCTATCGCTTTGTCTCCATTAACAAACCTAATTGCCTGATCCCTTGCCTGTCAAACTACCCTTAAAAACCCTGTCTCCCAAATTCTCGGGGAGGCGGATTTGAGGAATTTCTTCGGTCTCCCCGATTAGCGCTATGCAGAATGAAGACTCTTTCTCTGCGTACAACTTGCTGACTCAGCGTATTGGTGGCTTCTTCGGCAGCCGGCAAATGAACCTGGTTGGGCAGCAACATTATATCAGTACCCAGCCTGTAGTAGTCACTCAGCCATAATTTGACAAATGGAGCTGGATCTTAATTCACTGACTCTTTCCCCAACAAATGTATTGTCATTACATCTGGTATGCAATCTACTGTTAAGCTATTTCTAATCCTCATACAAATTAGGTTAATTAAATGAAATTTCTTTGAACTTTGGCACTGCTTATGTGAGAGCTTTACTCATTTGTCAGTATGAACAGTTGCTGAATCAGTTTGTTTTCCAATGTGCCTGAGATTCACTTGAATCAGGTAAGACATGCAGACACGGAAGTGATGTCCAGAAGGAAGAAGCTTTTACACTCAGATGCCGAGCACCAGGACTTGATGAGCAAATGCAAGTCCCCTGTGCACTTTCTCTGCTTCCTGGAAGAGACGGTAAGCTTCCAGTATGAGTCTGACAGCAATTATGATTTTAGTCCTTGTTCCGGAGCCCCCTGTGTGGGTTGCTTGCCAGGCCTGCGACTTCGGTAATCCCAGGATCCTTGCTCCCTCAGATCCTTTTAGCATCAAAGGGAAACCTGCCCCACTGACCCTTGGCTCCTGCCCCCTCATTCTCAGACCCTTCGGATAGCAGGCGGCCTCAAAGTTGATCCTCCTGGGATCTCAGTAGTGGGCATCGGGCAGCCGCATCCACCCTGTTAGTTTGGCAGGGATCCTAGGAGGGAGGATCCTCTGGGCAGAGCTGTGGGGAACTCACTCTAAGTCTCACCAGCCGGGGTCTAATATTTCTCTTGCGATAATGTTGTGGAGAATAGGAAATGCTGTCTGTTAGGTGCGGAGCCCAGAGGGAGGCACACGAAGCCTCATGTGTCGCAGAATGCCGCTGATTTGAGCATCTGGGTGCAGATGGGTGGAGGCTAAAAGAGTGTCCATGAGAGAAAAGGGGAGATTGGTGGGTTTTATAGAAGGTTTGGATGGAAGTTTGGGGAGGGTGAATTTTTTTTTTTTTTTTTCTGAACGTTAACGGGTTCTGCAAGCGCCTGTGGTCAGGGTTAGATTTACAACCTCCAGACTCTTCGGACTCCTGCGGCTGTGGTCTCACAGGCTTTACGATCACTGTCTAAGTTTTCCATTAACCACATTTCTTCCTGTACATACTTTTCGGGTTTCCACCCCAAACAAACCTAACATTCCACCCTTTTTATTATATACATATAAAAAAGGAAGGGTAAGGTATGGGAAAGGGTGAAAATTAAAAATTAGAAAGATTGGGAAGCAGGCATCCTTGTCTTTCTGACTGCTTCCTTGTTTCTTCTGTTCCTGGAGACTTGGTTATTTCTGAGATGTAGTCAGGCCTATCCCAGGGGATATGATTTTGCCCCTGAGATATGGTTTTGGAAAGGAAACAAAGGCTGGGAGTTTACCACCCTGCTGTCTGTCCAGGAGCTTCTCAGGAGCAACTTGAGGCTGTAAAATAAATTCTAGCTGGGGAAATGTAAAGAGAAAGATTTACATTTTCTTTTCTGGGATCTTTTAGGTGTTTGTGAAAACAGAGTCCCAGGAGGTTGCCTGCTAGTTTGGGAGAGAGGCAGGAAAGACACTAGGGAGAGCTCAAGATTGATCTTTAGCTGTTAGTAGAAAATTGAAAGATTCAAGGCCGCCCTAACACCCCCCCCCTTTCTGTTGTTAAAATTAAATTAAAATGAACTCAGAAGTTCATTTTAAATGAGCAGAGATCTTTCTTCTGTAGCTACTTCCAGCTAAGAAGGGGTGTAGAGATCTGTTTACGGAGTTCATTTGAAC